AGTCTCACAAAAGACTATGTTGCAGGGTCCCATGGGATCTGAGGAGGTACACAAGCCCACTCACCACAGAATCATCACCAGAAAGGAAACTTTGCTTGGGGGTATTGGGAGAATTGACTAAGTGCTGAGTCAGAGATGAGCAAGCAGGATCATTCCCTCTCTGACCCCTGCCCCACAAACAGCACCACAACTCAGCAAAGTGGGTTGTCCTGCCCTGGAAAATACCTAAAGCTCCATCTCTTGGAATGTAACAGGTGAAACAAGACAAAGAGATATGGCACAGATCAAATAACAGATAAGCATTCCAGCAAAACTTACCTGGCTACTGTTCCTCAGTGGATGAAGTGCCAGCTTGTGATGCAAAGAGTTGCCAGTTCAGTTCCCAGTTAGACCACATGCCTGGTTTGCTGGCCATGTCCACATAATGGCACATGCTAGAGGCAACCACACATTGATGCTTCTCTTAATCTCTTTCCCCTCCCTACCCTCTCTGTAAAAATAAATAAACATTTTTAAATGAACTAAGCAGTATATAGGTAGCCAACAACACAGATGCACATTTCACAACACAAGTAATCAGGACATTCACAGAAATGGTTGAGTGGAGCTACAAAATAAAGGAGGAAGTGGAGGCTCTGCAAGGTGAAATACAGAAACATATACAGGGTACCATCAGTGAAGGGAATGAGGCAGGGAATGAAATCAATAATTTGAACCATAAGGAAGAAATACATATTCAACCAGATTAGACTGAAGAAACAATAATTGAAAAAAAATGAGAAGCTGAGATAGCTCTCAGACAAATTTACACCTTTCAGCATCACAATTTTAGGGGTGCCAGGCAGAGAAGAGTAAGAGCACAAAATGCAAATCTGATTTAAAAACAATGAAAAAAAAACTTACTGAGTCTGGTGAAGGAAACGACATTCAAGTAAAGGAATCTCACAGAGTCTCCAAGAAGTTGGACTCAAGGAAGAACATACCAAGATATATCACTATTCCATTACCCAACATGAAAGATAAGGAGAGAATCTTAAAAGCAACAACACAAAAAGAGTTACCTACAAAGGGCTTCCCAGAATACTAGCAGCTGATTTATCAAAAGAAACCTTGCAGGCAAGAAGGGACTGGAAAGAAGTATTTAAAGTCATGTAAGGCAGGGACCTACATCTAAGATTAACCTAACCAGCAAACTTATCACTTAGAATGGAAGGGTAAATCAAGTGCTTCCCAGATAAGGTCAAGTTAAAGGAGTTCATCACCAAGCCCTTATATGAAATGTTCAAGGGACTTAATCTAAGAAAAAGCAGATGATCAAAAATATGAACAGTGAAATGATAACAAACTCACAACATTAACAACTGACCTATGAAATCAAAACCAAGGGAAAATAAACTAAGTAAAAAGCTAGAACAGGACCAAAATCACGGAAATGTGGATCATATGGAGGGTGATCAGCTGGTGGGTGTGAGGGAAGAAAGGGTGAGAAGATACAGGGAAGAAGAAGAATAAATGTTGTGAACAAAATAGACAAGGGTGATTGAAAATTGCATAGGAAATGACAAGTCATAGACTTATTTTCATGATCCATGGGCATGGACTCAGTGGTGGGAGCATGAAGGGAAGGGGGCTGCAGGGAAGATGGTATTAAGGCAGAATAAAAAAGGGACAATCATAAGAGCATAATAAATAAAACATACTTAAACAAGGGAGCTTGTGAAAAATGTAGAAAACAGGCTCCAGCTCCAACTCCTAGATCATAATCTGCATTTTAACAAAACTATATTTGTTGTTGCCTAAATGAAACCTAGTTTCTTATACTTAAAACTCATCTTGCCTATTGTACCTGAGAAGTAGCCACAGCTGTTTCTGAATGATACAACTACAACACTCAACAGTCTATATGCCTGTGTGTATTTCTTCATTTTAAAGTTTATTTTCCTGAAAAGTAATGTCTTTGCATTGGATTTGTAGAAATGTTTTATCCTCACTTGTCAGTGTTACAAAATACATTAGAGAGTGGTAGATAGTCAAAGAGACCTTCCTGAATGATGCTGTAGGTAAAAAAACACTTCTAACACTTTCCCTGTCAGATGACAGTGAGAACTCTGCTGTGCATCCTTGTAAATGTGCCTCATTTTTTCTTGAGCTATCTTTGACCTTCAAGGTCATGTCAGTAGATTTCTCTCAGGAGGAGTGGGAATGTCTGGACCCAGGTCAGTGGAAATTGTACTCAGATGTGATGTTGCAGAATTACAGCAACCTGGTCTCCTTTGATGAGGCTGGCTGCCTTCACAATTCCCTCTCCACCCACAGGATTTTGTTTTCTTTATTTAATGTCTTTCGTGGCCTCTACTTTTTTGATAGACTTTCAAATTCATGCTCACAATGGAGCACTTGGAGGTTATCTCATGGTAGAAAATAAAGGCTTTGAGAACTATAGTCCTTAGGAACTCATTGTCTGAAAAATTTAGGTGTTATTTGAGTAATTAAGATGCTGTTAGCAAATAGGATTTTAGGGAAATTGCCTTCTAGAATATTTTAATTTTTCCTTCAGTGTCCTTACCTGAGCACAATGTGGATTGGATTTGGGGAATCTTTAAAAAAATAATAATATTTATTTTGTACACAGGTCTTGTTGTTTCTAAGTTAGTGGCGGTCACATTTTTGGAGCAAATGAAGAGAGTGCTGGGATGTTTGCAGAGAAAATTCAATAGCTGCCTCCTTAGGTGGGTGGGAATGGAGATGCAGATGTCCCAGGTGAGAAACCCAACAGTCACAGAGCAAACCAGACCTTCATGTGTGGTTTGGAAATCTGTGCTTCAATGGAAAGTATTTTGAAAAGCCCAAGTTTAATTATTTTGATGTCATAGAGAGCCGGCTGGTTTTCAACACTGTCCCATGCTCCTACATGCTTTCAAAAGTGTGTTTTTGCTCCAGTGACCTCTGTTATTATATTAGAAATTTTGGCCAAAGCCCTCCCTCATAAAAAAGTGTGCAGTGTATACAATTAAGTTATTTTTAGACTCTAGCGTCACCAAGTTCTGGCTCCTCTTGCATTTCTTTGGGGACTTGGAAAATCTATGTATGTTGCTGAGAAATTGTACATTAAGTGTTGTTCCTTTTTTTCAGTTTTGTTTTGCTGCCAAGAATGAACTTTGTGAAGGAAGTGGTTGAGATCCTGAAATTTGACTCAGAAATTCCAGGAATCCAGGGTACAGGTGTGATTTTAACATAATGTGAACCCATTGGGTGCTGCAAAGAAGACCCTGCAAAGCTTAGACTCAGTGATGTTCTTGTAGCACAAAGTTCCTCCCCAACCATAGAAAATCTACTTTTCTGTTTGACTCCAGAAGTCTTTGTGCTCATGCACCTGTACCATAGTTTCTGGATCCATTCATTTACTGATGGGCACATAGGTTGCTTCCAGCATTGGACAATTGTAAATTGTGCTGGTATAAATATTGGGGTGCATAGGTTTTCTTGAATTCATGTGTCAGAGTTCCTAGGGTAGAAGGGTCTCCTAATCTTTGAGACAGCATTATGGTAATGAAATAAGCCAGGCAGTGAAAGACAAGTACCACATTATCTCACCTTTAATAGGAAACTAATCAAAACAAACAAGCAAGAAAAGTATAAGCAGAAATGTGGAAATAAAGAACAAGCCAACAGTAAGCAGTGTGGTGGTGGGAGGGAAATAGGGGAGAAAGAGGGCAAGGGTTTCAGGAACATGTATCAAGGACACGTGGAAAAAAAACTAAAGGAGGGTAAGATCAATGGGGGTACTTGGGGATGGATTTGTTGGGGGGAGTGTTGGGGAAAAATGGAGAAAACTGTATTTGAACAACAATAAAACATATGGTAAGAACATATCTTTTTACTTTGCGTCAGCCACCGAGTGAGGGGTATAAAGCATCCAGAGGCCAGAAGCAGCTTTTCTAAGAGACTTAGGAGAGTGTACACCATGAGGGAATAGCGGCCATTTGAATGGAAAAGCCACCGTATATGGCTTGTTGACTTCTCAAGTGGAGTGGGGCAAGGCCTCAGGCAATCACTACGACAGGGTACAGCATTAGCCAACTAGGTGGGGACTCACATATAGCATCTTCTAGCTCTGTTGTGGGGAGGGCTCAGCAGAGAATAATCTCCTCACATGACATGTATGTGGGGGAATGTTACCCTTCTACCTTAGCCTTGAATCCATATAGTTGAGTCCCTCCCTCAATGTCTGTAGCCACTTTAAATCAGCTGTCCCAAGGCTGAGGTCAGAGCTTGTGAGTCCCTGTATGTCTGTGCCAGGCCTTTAAGAGAAAGACTTGGACTCTAGCATCTCTCTGTCTCAGTCAGCCATTATTGCTACTGGTTTTCCAGGATGATTCCTTTTATATGATAAATTCTCTGAAATTTTTGTTTCCCTTTTTAGCATTAATTTGCCTATTAGAAAAGTAAATGGTAGTTTTAAGATTAGTACTTAAGATACTGTGGTAGTTAATTCGAATATAAATCATCATATGGCAATTGCAATTAAATTTAAGTATGCAGTCATTTTTTTTTCCTTACACTGTTCATGATGGGCATATCTTGTTTCTTTCTGTGCTTTTTAAATGTTCAATGTCTGCTTGTTCCTTTCCGCTACAAACATAGTCTTCATTTTATCCCTACCCACGGCTGAATTTGTATGCTCTGTATGTCAGATATAAACTTTTCTAAATTGGTCCCAGCTGCTGTTGGTCCCTGGCTCGTGGGATGGCTTGGGAACCAAAGTTCCTGGTTTGGTTCCCTATTGGGGCACATACCTGGGTTTTGAGCTAAGTACCCAGCAGGCGGTGCATGTGAGGAAAACTCACATTGATGTTTTTCACCTTCCTCTCCCCTCTGTGTAAAAATAAACAAATAAAATATTTTTAAAATATTTTGTAAATTGAATGTAATATTTGAAAAGATTTTATCCATTATTTCCTGTTCCTCTGTGGCAACCTGTGTCTGCATTCTGCTCTAGCATGCTGTGCTCTGAAGAGATGTTGGGCATCTTGCCCAGCAAACAGTCTCAGCCTGCACATGAGGGAGGCGCACAGCTTCACTAGTGAGGTCACAGAGCATGCACCTGCCCCACCATGGGGTCCAGGCAGGTGGCCGGCTATGACCTGTACAGTGCCAATGATGACACAGTGCCTTCTATGAAGAAAGCACTTGTGAAAACTGACATTCAAATCACTGAGGCTGCCGAGTGCTACAGAAGTGTCACGCCATGTTCTGGTTTGTCTCCTAAACACTTTTTAGATGTAGCACCTGGTGTCATAGATGAAGGCTATGAAGGAAATATTGGTGTTCTATTGTTCAATTCCGCTAAAGGACACTTTGAAGTTAAAAGGGGTGCATGTGTTGCACAGCACATTTGTGAATGGGTTTATTATCCAGAAATAGAGGAAGTTCAAAGTTTCATTGACACCAAACAGGGTTCCAAGGGCTTTGGTTCCACTGGAAAGAACTGAAATGTATGCAAGAACAGAAAAGAATACATATTTTTCTTAAAAATAAGCAGCTTTTGTTTAGTGTTTTGGTGCTTAATCAAGCTTTAGCTTCCAAAAGTACTTAGTTCTGGTCTTCTGGTGAAGATGGAGGCATAGGTGAAAACAATGTGCACCTTAGCAAAACGAGAAGAAGGACAACAACAATTTAAAAACCAAACAACCAGAACTGACAGAAAATCAAACTGTGTGGAAGTCTGGCAACCAAGAAGTCAAAGAAGACACATTCATCCACACTGGTAGGAGGGGTGGAGTCTGGCAGCCAGCAGGGAGAGGACTTGCAGCAAGGAGGTGGCTAGGGGACTGGGGCACACAAGGCAGTTGCTGGTGGATCCAGCGAGGCAGCAGATTGTGGAACAGGGTGCACAAGGCTGCAGCTAGCTAACAAGCTCATGGCTGGCAGACCAGGCAGTCTCACATTCTTGAGCACATAAACCAGGTAAAACAAAGGGGGAACAGGACAGACACCACAACCCATAGTCCCAGTTCAGAGAAATAAAGCCTCAAACCACTGATTGAAAAAAACAGTGGGGGTTCAGGTGGCATGGGGAGAAACTCACAGCCTCACAGGAAAGTTCAATGGAGAGACCCACAGGGCCATAGAACTTAAATAAATACACCCACACAGGAATCAGCACCAGAAGGGCCCACTTTGCTTGTGAGAAGCATAGGAAGTGACTGAAATCTGGCAGAGAGTGGAGCAGACACTGTTGTTCCCTCTTGGACCCTTTCCCCACATATAGCATCACAACCCAGTGATGTGGTTTACCCTGCCCTGAGTAACACCTAAGGCTCCACCTCTCTCTATGTAATAGGTGTGTCAAGACCAAAACAAAAAAAAAACAAAAAAAACATGGCCCAACCAAAAGAACAGATCAAAGCTCCAGAAAAAAACAAACAAACAAACAAATAAACAACTAAATAACAAAGATATAGCCAACCTATTAGATGCACAGTTCAATGCACTGATAATCAGAATGGTTGAAAATTAGATGAAATAATGAAGGCTACACTACGTGAAATAAAGGGAAATATACAGGGAACCAACAGTGACAGGAAGGAAACTGGGACTCAAATAAACAGTGGTGACTAGAAGGAAGAAAGAAACATCCAATCAGAAAAGTATGAAGAAAGAAGAATTTGAAAAAAAAGTGAGGAAAGTCTTAGGAAGGTTCAGGACATTTCTAAACATCCCAACATCTTAATTATAGGGATATCAGAAGGACATGAAGAAGAACAACAAGTGGTAAAGTTATTTGAACAGATAATGGAGAACTCCCCAAATCTGGCAAAGGAAATAGACATCCAGGAAGTCTAGGAAGCTCAGAGAGTCCCAAAGAAGTAGGATCGGAGGAGAAACACACCACGGCACATCATAATTACATTAGCCTAGACTAAATTTAAGGACAGAATCCAAGAAGCACCAAAAGATGAAGAGGCAGTTATCTACAAAGGAGTTCTGATAGCACTGTCACCTGATTTCTCCAAAGAGTCCTTACAGGCAAGAAGGGGCTGGGAAGAAGTATTCCAAGTTGTGAAAGGCAAGGACGTATATCCAAGATTGCTCTATCCAGCAAAGCTTTCATTTAGCATGGAAGGGCAGATAAATTGCTTCTCAGAAAAGGTCAAGTTAAAGGAGTTCATAATCACCAAATGTTATTAAATGAACTTTTAAATGAGTTTATCTGAGGAAAAATGGTAAAAAATATGAACAGTAAAATGACAGCAAACTCAATTATTAACAACCACACCTAAAACAAAGGCAAAAGCAACTATGCAAACAACTAGAACAGGAAAAGAACCACAGCAATGGAGATCCCATGGTGGGGTATGAACTGGGGAGTGGGAGTGGGGATGAGGAAAGAAAGGTACAGAGAATAAGTAGAATAGATGCTAGACAGAAAATAGAGGAAGGGTGAGAATAATATGGGAAATGTAAAAGCCAAATAACATATTTATGACCCATGGACATGATCTAAAAGGGGAGAGTGTGGGTTCAAAGGGGTGTGCAGGGTGGAGGGGAGTAAGGTAGGAAAATGGGACAACTGTAATAGCATAATCAATACAATATATTTAAAAATACTTAATTCTCTCATTCACCTAGTAAAGGGTACATTTTTTTGTGTAAGGCTGCTTTTGATCATTGTATAAATCCGAATGGTAAATGAACACAGCATATTTTTCCAATCAACTGTCCATCAGTGACTGATTCCCCACACAACACTGTTATTTAATTTACTAAGTGCTCCCCCTTGAACAGCTCATTTTTCAGATTTCTTTATAAATGGTAAGCAAAGCCAATAGAGAATTGTATTTGGCCAACAATAATATCAATCAATCAATGAATCAATGATGTACCTTGAAAAAAAATCAATGATAACCAAATCCTTTTATACACTGGATTTGAATATTTTCACAGATTCTTACATAAACTGAAGTAAAATATAATGAAAAGTTAGGAAAAAATATATAGGTGTATCTTTTATACTTTTTATTTTAAATTTTAGTAAGCAACCTTTTAAATAAAAATCAACCTTCTTAACTATCTCTAAAGGTGCAGTTAAGTCATATTATGTATACTGGTTTGATTGTAAATCTGAATTCTGTAAACTTCCATCTGGCAGAAATGTACCAATATCCATTAAAAAACCACTTCCTCATTTTCCATTAAAAAAAAAGGCTCAGGTTAGTACCTTTTCTTTTCTCTGAGTTGAACTCTATTAGAACTCACCTAAGTGGAATCCTGTAGCCTGTGTCCTTTTGACTCATGTGCTTCACTTAGAACATGTTCTAGTTTGACATCGTGGTATCAGGAGAGAACATATTTTCTATTTCCTGGCAGAACAGTATTCCATTGTATATGTGTACTACATTTTAATTACAATTTAACAGTTTTTATTCATTCATTTTTAGAGAGGGGGAAGAGAGGAGGAAAGAGAGGGAAAGGCCGTGTGTTTGCCTGTCACCTGCCTGCTACTGGGACCTAGCCCTAAACCTAGGCATGAGTCTTGACATGACATTGAACCAGAAACTGTTGTTCACAACCCAGCTCTCCATCCACTGAGCCACAACAGCCAACCTTATATATACTACATTTTTAAATATATTTATCCATAGACTTGGGGGTTGTTTCCACCCACCAGGCTTTTGTGAATAACGTTACAATTGAGAAATGTATGCAAATGTCTCCTGCAAATCTTCACCTGAACTTTTGTGGGAGTATATAACTTCTGACCTTTGTGTGCCTAGATGACACTCTAACCAACTGAGCACTGGGTCAGACAGATTGAATTCTCTTAGTTCTATGAGGTTAGGTTTTTCATGCCTTGATATATTAGTCCTTTTGTATGAAATAACATTTCATTTTATATGATTCAGTTTACTTATCTATTCACTTGTTCACAGATCTCTCCATTCTTTAGAATTTGTGGAATGTATGGATGAAGCTTCTAAAAACAGTTCCTTGTAGAGTTTTGCACAGATAAAATCTTTAGCTCCTTGGTTTAATACTATGGAGCACACCTTGTGATTATATAATAACTGTATGTTTACTTGTGTGAGAACTTCCAGACTCATCCCAAGTGGCTGTAGCATTTTGCATTTTCATCAACAAGGAGTGAGAGTTCTGTTTCCTCCCCACCCACAGCAGTGTTTGCTCTTCTCAGTGTTCTGGATTGTGACCTCTCCAGTAGGGGTTTCATGTGGCTTGAATGTGCACTTTCTTTAATTTCCCTCCTTTTAAGGCCCATTTCCAAAAAGACGTGAAATGTGGAGGGCCTTCTGGACACCAAAATTTTATCTATCTTTTTAAAAGCGTTTATCTATTTGTAGAGAGGGCTAAGAGAGAGGGAGATAAACATCAATGCATAAGAAACACCTTCATCAGTTTCCTCTCACACACCACCAAATGGGGATCTGGCACACAGCCCAGGCCTGTGCCATTAACAAGAATCCAACTGCTGACCTTTTGGTTCAAAGGCATGTGCTCAGTCCACTGAGCCACATCAGTCAGGAATTACAAATATTTTTCTCATCTCATGATTTCTCTTTTTTCCTCATGATGATGATTACTTTTCTGTTGTTCTTTTTTCCTTACTGTTTGATTTCAGATATGGTGTTTAAATTTTAATACTATGAATTGATATACAACATTGGTACACAATTTACCTTGAAAAGTGTGCAGTGGCTCTAGCTGGCATGCCGAAGTGCATTGAGCTCAGGTTCGCAAGTCAAAGGGTTGCCAGTTTGATTTTCAGTGTAAGACACATGCCTGGTTTGGAGACCAGGCCCCCGGTAGGGAGTGAGCAAGACCTAACCACACATTGATGTTTCTCTCCCTCTCTTTCTCCCTCCCCCTCTCTAAACATAAATAAATACACTATTTTAAAAAGTGAACAGTGTGTAGAATTAAGTTTTTTTAATTGATCATTAACATGGAAGTCATATTTAAAATATTTTTTCATTTTTCCAATAAATACATCATGAGTGATGACTTGAAAGAAACGTTTTGAGATACAATTTTTGACATTAAACAAGGTCTTCTCAGAGAGTATCCAGACATGTAATATGAAAACTAAAGACATTTAATGAAGGACATACAATAAACACTGTACATAGGACAATGACACCTCAGTCCCTTTCAAAGTAGGCGCCTTGGGACCTCACACAGTTTTCCCAGTTGCCATGAACTTCCCCATCATATTTTCCTGAATGTTATCAACAGTGTGAAATCTCTTCCCTTTCAAAGGTGATTTTAGTTTTGGAAAAACTGGAAGTTGCATGGCACCAAATCTGTGCTATTGCAAAGCTGAGTGACCTGGGTGATTGGATATTTCACCAAAACACTTGCATGTGACATGATGCACGAACAGTGCACCTTCATACTGAAGCTGGTCTTCACCAGTTGCCCATTGCAGCAACCTTATAAATCATCTGAATAAATTCCATGGAGAAATATTGAGGTT